AGGAGCAATAACAACAAACTTGTGATAACTGGCAAAAGCAGCAAAGAAGCAGCGAAGAAGCAGCAACAAGCAGCAATAGCGGCAGCAATAGCAGCAGCACTACGGTAGCAGCGGCAACAGCAGCAACAGTCATAGCAGTGATAAGCTTACCAGCAGAAGATATGGCAGCAGCAGACAGCAGCAATAGCATCGATTACAGTGGCAATAGGAACAAGGGACAATACAATAGCAGTCACGCTAGCAACTGCCAGTTGCAGCAAATAGCAACATTGGATTATAGCAGAAGCAGCACACAGTGGAGAGTAGCTGCATGAGCAAATAGTAGCAGTGTCAGCTACTGAAAACACCAGCCGTGAAAGCACCAGCTGTATCAGGCACTGAAAGCACCAGCCGTGTCAGCAACAAGTGACAAGAGCAGCAAACTACTATTAGAGCAGCAACGTCAGCCGGAGGATAACAAGCAGCAACACTGACGCAGTCCGCAATGGCGGCAACTATTATTCTTGAGCATTATCTATTCCCCAGCGACACGGCTGATGCTGAGGAAGGCACTGTCTGAGATGACATGTCTGCTGAACAGAGGTCCTTGAGGTCACCCATTTCAATTGGAGCGGTACAGAGGAGACTTTGTAACATGGGCCAGGGCTCTGTTACGATGGCACGTGCTAATCGGCAACTGGTCGAAAATTTTGAAAGGATCAATCAATGGATCATTGGGGGAAAAAAAGGAAGAAGAAAGCAGACAACATGAAGCAATGAGCGATTGGAAAAGCCACTGTCTGAACAGATGTCTCTTTCGCTCCATTTATTTATTGTTTGCATACCGTAGGCGAGTGGTGGAAAGATCCAAGGGGCTGTGAATGTGATTGACGGCAAGATTCATGGGTTTGTCCGGATTTGATGTGGTGCCTGGTGTGCATTAAACCACTACTGGTAGTAGACCTGAGCCGGACAGGCTTGCACTGCGCGCCAAGCTTTGCCTAACCGACAACCGAGCACTTCTTTTCGTCTTTAGCTGGCGCCCCTCCAGCCATTGTGGTCCACTAGCCCCGTACTTGATGTTGCCTGGGGCCGTGCACTGGTGGTTTAAAGAGTGAAACATTTGGTTTTGAAGTAGCCTGGGGCCATGTTGCTATGTGACTGATTGAAAATGCAATCCAGCAGAGCTTCTGCATGTCCCCATACACATGCAACAATGACAAAGAAGACTTGGAGAGGGTCTCATACCACAGCAGACAGAAATATGCACATTGGAAGCGTAGAAACCAGGACGAATGGAATAGTATCAATTCAAAGTCCCTCGCCACTCTCCAGCACAATCAGATTGAAACAAAGACATCAAGGATCACAACCTAGAGAGTAAACCACCTTGGACGAACTCAGGACACAGATTCATCGTCTCCGGAGTCTTCCTCCTCCCTCCAACTCAACCTCCATAGCCGGCTATGGTGTACAACCCAATTTCACAGTGCCCAGCCTTAATACTCTGCAAACCACCAGCACCTCCGCTCTCCTGTCGCAGCAGCACCAGCGCGCTGTTTAGAACCCCTCGAACACTCCAGCACTGTGCCACACACCTCCCAGATCAACTAGTGCCAGTGGGTGAAGACGGAACCTCCAGCTTGAAGAAGAAGAAGACAGCTGCCACGAAGAAGAAGATATGGCAGTGCCTAACCCCAAAGCATAAATATGCTGTCGCCAGACCCAGCAGATGAAGCACTGCTTCACTGTTCCCGAAACCCTAGCAGCGGCTTCCCAGTGCTGCTGTGGCAGCCTGGCGGCGTAACATGAGCACTAAACTACTGCTAATCAACTAAAGAGAGGTAACCCTTCGGACCCATTGCATATATAGTTCTACCCTAACCTACTGGACTGGACTGGCTAGGACCTAAAACCAACAGACAATTATGGGTCTGTCTTTTTCAGCAACAATCGTACCAATCTGAGGCAAAAGTACCACAGTGGTTCGTTGAGGCCTGAACCAGGTTGAGGCTCAGTAGGGCCCGTTTTTGCGGTAGTTTAGGGTATTTGCGGGGAAGTCCCTGTCAGTTTAGGCCTGTTCCAGTTACCGGTTAGGCCCCAGAACTCTGAAAAAATTGAACCTGCAAGAACATTGCAATGTACTGGCGGCTTAAGAAGCAACAGTGAGGGCATACCCACACTAGCGCTTCCTTAATGTATCTGACGGCATTTACAGCCAAACCTGGATGCATCTGACTGCATTCACGTCCAGAGCGGAGTCAAGAAAGTCCTATTGTAAGTAGGCCCAAACTTTTCTTTTTTCTGTGTGGGTCTCCTTCCAAGGTTGGGCCTGGTCCAGAACCACCTTCCCCGGCTGGTGGTTGATTTGCCCACCTGCAGCTTGGGCCTGGATGGTGGACCAATGGAATTACCTGTGGCGGGGATTGGATAGCTCTGGATAATCTGCGGTTGATGGTCATAGATTACCCTTGACGGAGGGGGTGAAACTTCCCAGCCTGAGTTACACAGTGCCTGCAGAGTCCGAAGAGCAGGGGCTGTAAGCATGTAGGCTTCTGCAGGGGGAGTCCATCTGTTTGCCCCGTCATCATGGGATGCTTGGGCCTTCCATTCTTGATCCATCTGGAATGCGACAAGGGTTCAAGGCCTCTTTGGATCCTGGAGAGGGGCTGTGGCAGCATCGGGGTGTGTAGCCCCTGGCTTTTGCTATGCCATTTTGGGCCCTGGAGAGGGCCTGCGGCTGTAGCCCCTGGCTCTCCCTGTGCAGCGGGGGGCTTACAGTCCCCGTTTTGGAGGGGTACCAGATCCCTACAGTAAAGCACCCACAACAGGTGCAGGGGCATTTACCGTTGACTTAGGACATGTGAGACCTGAATTATTCCCCGTTACTTTGTGTTGCAGAGTTTCACTTTTCGCAGGGTCATATGTCCCCCTGCTGAGTCCTTTGATTCACCACAGAGGTACATTTGAGTGCAGGCTTGCAAAAATCTCTCCTGTTTGTGTCTGACAGGGCCTGACATCGCTCCGCCTGCTGTTGTTGCATTCCCTAAACATTGATCCACTCATTCTGTGATTGTTTCCTGAGCTGCTGTTGCTACCCTTCACGCTCTCCCTCATTCTCCCCCTCCCTTCCTCCCCCTTCTTTCCCCCTCTTCCTCCCCCTTCTTTCCCTCTCTTCCTCCCCCTTCTTTCCCCCTCTCCCTAAAACCTCTGCCTCCCCACTCCTTTCCACTTCTGTCTCTTATACACATCTAGATGTGTATAAGAGACAGGTGTGTGAGGTGTGTGAACTGCTTACTCACCTGACGAGTGAATGAATGAAGTATCTTGCTTGCCATGCTATATCTCTCTACAATGCTTTGTTTATTTCATTCTGAACGGCTGTAGTCTGTAGGTTCTTTCTGGGGCAAAATTTCGTTTTTCAATTCGGTAAGGACAGAGTAGGTCTTTGTTGAACTCTTGTTGGTGGGGACCCGGTTCTGACTCCATTGGGACCATTTGGGACTTAGTGGGACCAGGCCCAAACAAGAAGGGCCCGTCAGGCCAAATCTGTTAACGTAAGTTACCTTGCTCTATCTGATTGGGGCTCGGACTTTATGCTTTTAGACCAGGACACTTGCTGCGGAGGGGATCTCCGGTGAGACGTTTTATCGGACTTTATGGCACAATCTGCCGTCTGACTCGCACCTTGAGCGCCACTCAATTCTTTCTTGCATTACGTAGTACACTTTGAATCTGATTTGCTGTATCTTCACGGAGCTGAGTCCGACTAGGCTTGAGAGGACCTCATACGTAGTCGGTCCAGACTATGTGGGTGGATCAGATCTCTATGATCTTTATTTCTTTCGTTGTTTTGACTGCTCTCCAGTCCAAATGAATTGCCGCTCCGGCTAGGAGTTCTACCTTCTCTTCTGATTGATTTCAAGCTGTTTCTTTCATTGGGTTTGTTAAATGCCCGCGTCTACATGATCACAAACGAGAGAGAGAGAGAGAGAGAGAGAGAGAGAGAGAGAGAGAGAGAGANCCTTCCTCCCCCGTCTTCCCCTTCCCTCCCCGTTCCCGTTCCCCTTCCTACCTTCAACAACTGCTGTTTTTGTCTTGGGTATGGGTCCGTTCTATCCAAAGCTACCATCTTGTAGCTGGTGTTGGGTTCTATCCAGGCACGTGTGGGACACTTGCCAGATCGCGATCTTCTGCTAGGCGGCAATGGAGAATGCCCCTGACTATGTGTTCTAGCCTCCAAACTTGGCTCTCCATGTAGGCTCTATCTCTGTCAGGCGATTCTTGTGCCGAAAGAGAGCCGTCTCCTGCCACAGTTCCAAACCGACAGAGCGCAGTGGGGCTTCAGTGCATTGCATTGCGGACTCCCTGCCATTCGTACGATAATGTAGGGACCAAACAAACATTCTACTCTAGGGAGAGCTTTGGACGTGAGTTGCATTGCAGACTTCTCACACATTAGCAATTCGTATAGCAGGGATGCATGAACATTCTCCTTCGAGGGAGAGTTTTGCAGTGCCACATTTCTTCCGCTCTGTGCCATGCAGAAACCTGTTGCTCACTATTCGATCATCAATCTGACGGTACCAATTGAGGAAGAGCAGGCCCCCACATGACCCGACGAGCACAAAAACATAGTGGTAGTTGAGACTAGTAGTCAGGAGTTGGAAGACAGAGTGAGTGAGCATTTCCTGGTTGATCCTGTTGGTCTTGGCAATGGGTTCATAGCTCTCGATAGCCAGCCAAAAGTGTTCGTGCTAGCAAGGATTCTGGGGCAGAGTCTGATCGGCGAACACCTGGCATCAGCACAATGTACAGACTGTACGGCAGTGCCTGGGAAGGGATATATGGTCCAGAAGAACGGCAGAATCGTGCAGATCTGTCCCAGGTCCAATTCGTCAGGAAGAATGCGGTCCGGGAGTGCACATTGCAGAGTGAATACACTGACAAGTTACTGCAGGTTTGGCAAGATGATGAGGTCTAAATCCTGAACCCTAAACAACTACCTGTCAATGGTGCAGGTATTGACTGTATGGAAGTGCATGGGGATATCGTTCGGAGGAATTGTATGTCTATACCAGGCGCAACTCAACAGGCACCATGTGATCCATCAGCAGATTCCGCGGACGTAGAGCAGGTTCGGCAAGAGGATCAGCCGCACGCCGGTGATTGCCCATCGTCGTTGTCACGATTAGAAACGAGGATGACTCTGAACGGCAGCAGTGCTGTGGTTGTGGAATCTGCCGGTTGTGCCAATGTTGTCCCGAGTGGCGCTGATGACTGCGATGACGATGCTGACGATTTGTTTCTAGATCCAAGCATTTTCATCGACGAAAGTTACGAGCCACGGTCCTTCGCATTTGCAGACCAGTCAATCACCGTGAATTGTTTGCGGGCAGGGTCAACAGATTACGACCTAACGGGGCAACTAGTGTGGCCCGGGGCCGAGTTGATGAATGCTTATGTGGCAAAACATGCGGACAGATTCACAGACGCATGCGTAATAGAGCTTGGCGCAGGCGTCGGATTGTCAGGAATCCTGTTGTCGCGGTTTGCACGCCACGTCCTGCTCACAGATCACAATGACACCGTTCTACATGTAATGAGACAGAACGTGGTTTTGGAAGAGAATCGGCGAAGGGAGTGGCAGAAGCAGCAGGAGATGGTTCATGTTCCCGCTGAAGTTGGCGCATCAGATGTTGGATCATGTTTGGTCACAGATGAGAAGTCCTTGTGTAAGTCCCGGGAGCAGCAGCAACAGCAGCAACAGCAGCGACAGCAACAGCAGCAGCAGCAGCAAGAGCAGCAACAGAAGCAGCAGCAGCAGCAGCAGCAGCAGCAGCAGCAGCAGCAGCAGCAGCAGCAGCAGCAGGAGCACCAGCAGCAGCAGCAGCAGCAGCAACAGCAACAGCAACAGCAACAGCAACAGCAACAGCAGCAGCAGGAGCAGCAGGAGCAATGGACGTGTGGTAAATCTAATCAGCAGTTTGTCAAAGGGAATGAAGAAGCTGCAAAAGACCACAAGCTTCTGGATTGTGCACTGCTTGAATGGGGACGCGAAGAACATGTCAATGTGATCGCAGCCAAGTATCCCTTGGGTTTTGATTTCATCATTGGTGCCGATATCTGCTACCAGCAGAATAGTCTGCCGCATCTGTTTGAGACGGTGGACGTGCTGAGCGCAGTTGCAGAGCGAAATGGTAAGGAATGCATTTTCTTGTTGGCATATGTCTCACGCTACCGGAGCGTTGATGCAAGGCTAGCAGAGGCAGCAGCGTACCATCGGTTCAAACTGGTACCAATCGAAGACACTCGTCAAAAAGTGGGAGGCGGCTTGTATGATGGAGTGGTATTTGAGGTGCTGAAAATATCTCAATCTGCAACCGCTGATCTGCGAGGCCCTGCAATGTCCCCTGTTTCTTCTTCTCTCTCTTGACCCAGGCAAAGATAAAGAGCATAAATGCATACATCCCGAACTTTCGGGGGCTCGGGGCTTCCGGACCAAGATGGCTGGCACCACCAGCCAAAAAGAAAAGAAATTGCCTACGTGCCGTTTCATTTTCTTTTTTTGGCGTGCGGCATGGTCTCGGTGAAAACAGCCTCAGACGTAGGGGTGGTGGTTTAAGCACGTGTGCAAATCTTCGTTCAACAGTTGCCAGAGAGAGAATAAAAGAAGGCTTTCCATGGATCTGATGCTGGCGAGATCACAGCCAACTCTTGCCCTTTGTGTTTGGTCTTTCCATAGTGGAAGCAGATCTGGTGGATGTGGTGTGTGTGGGGGGGGGAGGATTGAGAGGGAGAGAGAGAGAGAGAGAGAATGGATGGATGGATGAAACGAAGGGAGGTATCCAATTCGAAGGAATACTCCGTTGAGTCGGCGTTGACTTAGGTAGTTGAACTTAGTCCCAAATTCCTGTCCATCTTTATGGCATTCTAGTTGGAACTCTGTTGAGTCGTCCATGAAGTTTCGACTGGTTGTCGTTCGTTTTAAGTGCGGGATGTTATGCTGATTTTCAGAACCTGTATTGTTCTGTCTGATTCCTTTTTCTCCGGCCACGACTCCCATTATGTTAGTCACTGCTTGTCATGGTCTGGTGCCTGTCATTGCTGTTCTGTTCTGTCAATGCCGATTTGAGAACACAGGCGGTCTCAAATGCCGTCTCGCTTACATTCTGTGCAAAAGCTTGTTATTGAAGGCATTCCGGAATTTTCATGGTAGAGGCGACTTCTTTGCACTTAGGGTTGCCTGTATTAAAGGGGAACGTTACATCCGAGCCTCTTTTTGTCATGGCGGATTCGCACTACATGCCAAGCTGTGCCGAACGGCACACTTTTTTTTTTTTTTTTTTCATTTTTGGCTAGTGCTGCCATCCAATGTGGCCTGGTATAGCACTGAGCCCCCGAACTTTGCAGAATGACACCTTTTTTATTCTCTACTTTGGCCCGGGTGATGTGCTGGGAGGCTTGGGGGCCTTTGTCTTATCTGATCGATTTTGGTACGTTTGGGATCATTTTATCGACAGCAGAATCCAAGAAAGTAACCGTAGTGTCAGAGACGTGTGTTTTGTGTAAGGGCACATTCACTCTGGCACTCTGTCAACGGAATCTGGCTGTCATTACAGTCAAATGCATCCAGGATAATCTCAGTTCAATGCCTTGAGCCTGTTTACTGTGTTCTTGGAGAGCAGTTCTCCACCATAGTGCACAAGTACCTAGCGAAGTGCTCTGGTTAACAAGGGGGCCATGAGCTTTCGACGTACCGGCCTTCCTTTCCAGGGTAAATTCATTTCATAATGTAATTGAAAAACTGGCTGAGGTACTGAGAAGGGTGGCTGATACTGGTGATTTAAGGGAGGTTGGTAAAATGCATGCCAGCGCTACGAAGTGTCTGTGGGTTGTTCCCCTTCCTCTTGTTCAAGAAACAGGGATTTGAACCCGTGACTAAACTACAGCCAGGACACTGCGACTAAACTACATGTCGACGTTTTTTTTTTTTTTTTTTTCCCCCCCCCCCCTTCCTTTCCTACTTTCCTTTCCTTTTTTGAGCCTAAGATAGCACAACTGATTAAAGCCCAGGTTCTCGGTATGAGTTGAAGTCTTTCAGGGCCATTTCAAAATGAAGCATTTTTTTCCCTTGGGCCTTATGAGTTGAAGCCTGTTTCCTAATTTCAAAGTCCCTTCCCCTTTTTTTTTTTTTTTTTTTTGTTTTTTTAAACCTGGAGCCTGAGTTATTATGCTGTTAAACCGCCAGCACACGGCCCCGGCCTTGCTGAAAATGCAACTCGTGGCCTACAAAATTTTCGGAGGTTCGGCCTACCGCACCACAATGGGTGGAGGCACCAGCCAAAAAAGAAAGAACGAGCGCCGCTGGCAGTTCGGAAAAGCTTAGGCGCGCAGTAAGGCGCCTCCAGGCCCGGGTGTACTGGCGGGTTAAGGCCATGGGCCCTTCACGAGCCTGTTGGCCGAATTTTATATCCGTATAATAACTGTGTCTCGGCCTCTAGGCAGGTCAAGAGTTCAATCCTGCTGTAAGCGGCGAAGTTAACGGCCACACTCCTTTTTCTCTCAAACGGAAAGAGGTCTTGGCTCCATCTGTTCTAGGGAAAGGCAGTTCAGTTAGCACTCCATTGCCGCATCAATTAAGAAAAAAATCACTGATTTGTACCCTTCCCTCCTCCCCACCATCTCTGTACCCGCTCTCCCGCCTCCCCTGCAACGCACACATACACACACACAAAGGTATCATCAGCGAAGCGACCAGTCCCAGGTGGTTCACAATTATGTCATTCATATGATATTATGATTCCATCAGGATTCAAACTTAGGTCTGTTTATTAACAGTTCAACGGTTTACCATTCAGCCACCTGGGCTGGGTATACCCATAATTTTTTGGAGGGCCTTTCCTGGCACTAAGCTGGGTCCTTCGCTGCCAATGGACGGACATTCCAAGTCCCACAGTCGGTAGGTCAGTCTGAGAAGCTATGCAGACTGACCTGCTGTTAGTCAGCATTGAACTGGAAGATCTGTTATTCTCAGTGGAAATGTCGGATCAAAGGCGAATGGACTTCTTCTTCTTCTTCTTCTTCTTCTTCTTCTTCTTCTTACATTAGCTGCGTCATACAGTTGGCCCAGGTCTTGACAGTTGCGCCTGGGCACATACACACAAAGCAGGGCCGATACATTGGGAAGCAGGCCGTCGGCCTTTGCAAAAGCAGTAATGCCAATGCATCTGCCTGGGAGCCCTGCACAGATGCAGAAAACAGCCCAAGTCCGAAGACTCAGGCCGTGCCCAACTGAAAAGGGCCCAGGCCCTCAACTGTAGTCTCGGGCCTGGGCGCAGGGTCTGAGGCCCAACCGGAAGCTACTGGAAGCTTCCAGCCAGGCCACACGCAGCATCCAGGAGGCTGCCACTTCCACAAAAGGAGTGAGGCAACCCAGGCCAGGCATTCTGGCCAGTGCTGGCAATGCGGAAGTGCTGCTGCGCTCTCGCTTGATGCTGCGCTGCTGCCAAAGGCACTGGCGGGGCGCGTAGAGGTGAGGAAGGGCGCTGCAGGGCAGCGGGAAGCAGGCGGCCGTAGCCGGGCTGCTGGGCGCCAGGGGGTATAGCGGGTGATCTGGTGGTCTTCAGGGAAGGAGGCGAGTGTGGGGTAATCAAGGTCTGATTGAGGGTGACGAGATACGTACCTGGTGCATGAAGAGAGGTCGGCTATGGAGTCGACAGTCATTGGTCTTCGAGAGTCGAAGTGAGCCTGTTGCGGGAACCAGCTGTAGGTAGGATAGTCGGGCAGTGTAGGTTGGGCGCTCGGTGCTAGACAGAGAGTAGCGACTTCGGATACTGTGTCGGTGTGGCCTATGGGCTTGGACATTGTCTCATTACTTCATTGTATTGCTCTATATGGATGGTTTTCTTGGTGCATTTCTGCTCTCTGCTTGGACACAACTACTTGGACATCTGTGTGATTTCACAACTTGGTTTTCTGTATATTGTTCACACTCATATTCCTTGCAGAAGTTATTGCATTCAGAGGCTTTGAAGTTTGAACTCGTGACGTTTTTGTCAACACACACTTGGATGTATGTATGTACTGTTCAGCTACAAGTCAGATACAGCAGGACAACCATGTTTTTTTTTTTGGGTCAGGAGTCAGGAGATCCATGTTCATCTGTGATGTCTTGTGGAAAACAAATCAGTTTTACAGAGATGAGAGGTAAAAATAGTGTACAAGGATGACGCACGATTGAGGAGTGGTCCAAACTTTTTACCCAAGAAAAGAGGGGAATGCCAGCAGCTCATGCTTCTGTCTGTCCAAGTCCACTCGGCTTCCCTTCCCTTCCCTTCCCTTCCCTTCCCTGACCTGACCTGACCTGATTTTCCCAGACGTGACCTGACCTGATAGTTGCCTGATTTGGTAAGTTGTATCTGCTGGTAATGCATATCAGTATGCAAAATCATTAAGACGTGCAAAGTGTAATTAACTTAAATTAAGTTAATTAACGGATGAATGGCATTTGAATGCTTTCTCATACAGCCTTTTTGTTTTCTCTGTTACATTGAAAGGAGCACTCTGTTCTCATACTAAATTATACACATCTGATAAGGCCAGGATTTGAATTTTGAGCTCATGAGCTGTTTGCTAACAGTTACATGGGCACCATTCAGCCACATGGGCTGAGTACAGTACAGCGCAGTATATATCAGCCAGTCTGTCATTGATTGTCAACTTGTGAAGGTCTATGGAACTCTACGTGTTTACGGTCAATTTACTTGGCTTAACTTGGTTCTTCTTTGCATTAATTTGTTGAATTTGTGTTCGTTGCGCTTCTTGTGCTCTGGATCTGTTCGTCGCTGGGTTCTCCTTTCATGGGGCATGCCCCTGTGTTTCTGGTCAAGGTGATCTTACCAGTGGGCACATGGAACTCTGGTAGATGGGACTTTGGCACATGGGACTATGGCGAATCGGACTCTGGTAAATGGCACTGTGGAACATGGGACTCTGACACATGGGACTTGGTGGGACTGTGCCAAATGGGACTCTGGAACATGGGACTCTGGGCACTGGCACATGGGACTTGGTGGGACTGTGGCAAATGTGACTCCAGGCACATGGCACTTGGGGGCATGCTGATGCGGGTACCGCGTGGGTTTTGTGGGTTTCGACCATTGGCCTGCGTGTTTGTTCAGGCATAACCACAGGTCTTGGGAGATAATATACCTCCTACCTGCCGTTCTCCTACCTGCCGTGGTAGTAAGTAGGTGGTTTGGCAGGGCACTGACTGGGCCAAGCCACACACTCACCTTGATGCGTGCAGTTGCTGGGATGCCTCTCAACTTCCGGTCAAAGCTCATCAACCGTGACAGGAACCGGGCTCGTTGCCCTTCGCCTGCCTGGGTGTGAATGCTTCTGCATCTGCCGCGTTGTTTGCTTGACGGATGGAGAACGTGGTTGGTTAGTCTGAGTAGGTAAGCATTCTCCTTGAGGTGCGGTGGCTGGGGCGCCTTCGAACTTCCCGAGAAGCTCGGCCTTGAAAAGAACTGGTATTTATTCGCCTGCGTTTGCATGTTTCAGTGCCATCTGCGCTGACTGTTTGATGAATGGGCCACTTGTTTTTTTGTGCGATCGGGACTCGGCAATGCGGTTGGAGCTGATAGTGTTCGTGCCGGGCTCCTGCATCGATCCTACTACCTACCTGCTCTGTGGGGTTGCCTGTGCTCTGCATATGCTCCCAGGACGGACCGCTCACACCCAAAATCTAACTAGGAGCTTTTGAACTCCAACAACTTAAATATATACGCCATTGGGAGCCGGGGTTACCATGACTGCTGGCGTGCACCAATGTCTACAGCTCTTGTTGATCGCTTCCAAGTTCCAAGCCTGCTAGGTAGGGGAGATTCCGACACGGGAAAAAAACACTTGTAAGGCATCTCATCTCGAGATCCCTACAGCAGCTTATCCCACTGATATAGTTGGAAAGACATCCTGTAATTTTTATTATTTTTTTTAAATAATATATAGGACTTCTTTTTGCATCCATGTTAGTTTTTTCTTTTAACTTTCTTTGGGTCCGTTTTTGATGGAGTAAGATTATCTGTCGTTGCCGAAGTTGCAGTTCGCATTCTGTGACGTAGATTGATAAAAGTCAAAAAAAGGTGAAAACGGAAGAGTGACTGCTTTGGGCCCTGAGGAGGTTTGAAATATAGTTTTCGACCAGCAATAAATCCGTCTCAGTTAGGCGTTCGTCTAGGCGAACACCAAAAAAAAAAAAAAAAAAAAAAAAAAAAAACTGCTTTGCAGCAGTCGATCCTTTGGTGATGATGTCAGCATCTATTTGCTCGTAAATCCTTTACTGAACGTGGTTAATTCAGACGATTCAAAGGATTTACCTTGTTTTTTTTTTCCCTTCTTTTTATAGCTGTTTCTTTTTTTCAGCTTTGAGTGAGCAGAGAATGGCACTCGCTTCTGCTCTGCCAGCAGAAGTGGCTGGTGCTGCTACCGGGACGTGCTATGGAATTCGTGGCTCATCCGACAAGTCTCTCGGCTCGGTCAATGTGCCAAGCCAATGTCAGTCGAAAAGGCCGGCAAGATGTTCTCGTAAAAAGTTGGCTCGATGCGTTAGCCATCCATGTTATCGACCAGCGCGATGGTCTGCGAAGCTCTCGAGCTGTGGGGCTGGACTTGCGAGTTCTTCTCTTGCATTGCATCACACTGCTAGTTGCTTGAAGGGCTCCTCACATCTAGGGACCGCGCGCCAGGTCCACAATTCATTTGGCCGACAGTGTCACTGTGACATGCCGAGGTTGTGCTGTCTTCTGCACCGTGTGAAGTGTAGTCAGCAATGCTGCTCTGATTCGAGTGGAGGTAACCCCGTCTTCCGTGTAAAGGCCCATGGATGGGTACCCTCTGCACTGACACCTCTTCGACGCTTCAAGATCTGTACATGTGGACAAAACCATAGCTCCAGATCGCCTACCGAACGACCTGGGAGCCATAGATTTGAGGCGAAGAAGGCAGAGGATCATTCCGAAGAGATGAAAAGGGAATCCGCCAATGCAGGGACGATTCAGGCACCGTGTGGACCTGACCAGTCACTCAACAGGACTGAGAAAAACAGCCTTCTTGACCCTCAGCCTACTCCGTCATCGGGTCCGTTTGTTGATAAGAAAAACTTGCAAGGAGAAGGATCGCCTTCTGTTCCAGGCGGTCCTCCTGTTCCTGGAACAGGACTGGGACCTTCTCTTCCAGGAACTCGACCACCTGGTCCTCCTGTTCCTGGAACAGGACTGCCTGGGCGGCGGGCATCGTGGTCGCCTGGATATAGGCAGGACGAGAACCGAGGGAAGAGAACTCCAATCCATCGTGATGTCGGTCGTCTGATCGACAATGCCGTGGCATTTGTAATGCCTAGGGAGAAAGGGGACCTTCGTGACGTGATTCTAGTCTGCCTTTCATTTAGTGTGCTGGTCTACCTCTCCCAAAAGCTAGTCTGCGTATACTTTGCCATGCATTACTACGGCATGTGATGAACTGTGATGTCACTTCGTGTACTAGCATATGATGTCTCCTAACAGCCGCGGCTACCGGTAGTTTGTGCACAATTTCTAATCCTCTCTAGGATATCGACTACCGGTAGTAGTAGGACGATTGCATCTCAGTTTGTGTACTACCCCGCCTCCCCCCGAAAATAGCACACCCTGGTAATGAATGTATATAAGCTATCTTTTGCTCCGGTGCAGGCATATAATGAGGAGGAATATGTTACTACCTAACGGCTGTCTAGCTCGCTTACGCGTGTGCTATGCATCGCTATGGAATTCCGTCTGTTGTGATGATGGGCATAATCCTGTTTCTTCCTTTCCTGTTTACATTTTTTTGTTCTTTGTTTTCTCCTTGACAGCAATGCTTTTTTTTTTTTGTGTGTGTGTGTGTGTTTGCTTCCATCTTTCATCTATTTTCATGGATGTTGGTTGGTCTTGCTGCAGAAACCAACTATTTCGTGGCTAGCAGCAGCTCGTGGACGTGTTCATACTGCAGATATATGTACTATTGTAGGTTCTACCGCACTAACGCCTTCAGGTAAAGTTTAGACCACCAGTACGCCCGGGCCCTGAGGCGCTGCGCTGCGCACCAAGCTCTCCTTAACCACTAGTGGCACACTTCTTTTTTCTTTTTTGGCTGGTGTTGCCACCCATCGTGGTCCGGTGGCTCCTAGCCGCGGAATTTTCAGAGTGGCCCCTATCCTTATCCATTGGGGGATATTCTGTATGTATCCTTATCCATTGCAGAATACTCTGTATCTGTAATGATTCTGTATCCTTATCCAGTGCAGAATATTCTGTATGTGTGTATCCTTATCCATTGGGGAATATTCAATATTCTGCTTTTGTATCCTTAATATTCCTTATCCATTGGGGATTATTATCTCTGCCTGCCTTATTGTGTATGGATATGTACTATAACATACACATTATGCGACAAGTTTCACTGACAACGCATCAAGTCATTGACGACACTCTTCTCCTTGCTGCAGACTCTGAATGGCTCCCTTTCATAGGCTGGGGACAAAAAACTTGTCATAGGCTGGGGACAAAAAACTTGTCATGAAATAGATAGATGACAAGAATAACAGTGAAACCACCAGTGCTTTTCCTGGGCATTTTTCTCTATGTGGCCGTGCATGCGCGGCGGCTTTCCGAGCGTGGCCTACCGGAGCGGAATAGCTGGCAACGCCAGCCAAAAAGGAAAAAGTGCCAGTTTGGTGTTTTTTTTTTTTTTTGGCGCGCACAGGGGGAATCTGCTCTGGCAAAAGGAAGCCTCCAAGTACTGGTGGTCTAAGATAAGATGACACTTGTGTTGGACTTTTGCAGTCAATGCCTGGCCTTCAGGCTTTGGGTCGTCAACAAAAAATCATCTGTAGATATATAATATATATGCAGATTCAGCGCATTTGTTGCGGAACAAATGATCTGTAGATATCTGAATCCTTATCCAATGCAGAAAGCGAGAAAGATAATTTGTTGGGTACTGCCATCCATCTACTGAGTCCTGACCAATGTCGAGCCAATACCCGTTGAAGGCCTGAATGCTTCAATGCCGAGATGCTGCAGATGATGATGTGTCAGGCACAGCATTGCCGTCCTCACCTGAATAGAACGGCCGGTTATTATTTCTGCATCTGGATTCTGGACTGAAAGTTTCCCTAAATGCACAGCTTTAATGACTGGGCTTTCTATTCGGGGGAACATTTCTGGATCCAAAGTAGCTCTAGTTATGGATAGATGAATGAGCCGCCAGGCGCTCTCATGAGTGTTGGACTTACTGCTATCGAGTAGTATCGACTGAGAACAACCACCCGCCTGGTACGTTTTGGACTATTGGTTCCTGTATAGCATACATGCCCCCCCCAAAAAGTCTCTTCTGGGCCCAAAAAAGTCTCTTCCAGGCCTTTGTCTGCGGTGGCACTGCCTGGGAATAATAGTTCAGTGAGGATGTGACCATTTTTGCAGATTTCAGCATATTGCCATGATTAACTTTTAACAAAGTTAACCTCAATTATTATGGGTATCCTCTTCGTTACTGTACTATTAAGCCACCAGTACACGGCCATACATCGGCCGCGGTCTCCTTGCTGCGACTGTCAGAGGTCGGAAACGCGACGAAGGCCGTTGATGAAATTGATCAATGGCGGCCCTGCACCGATCTGTTCGGAGCAGGCCACAAGTTCTGTTCCAGCAAGGCTGGGGCCGTGCACTGGCGTTTAAGAATGCTGTTCGAGTGCGCTGCTCCAGTGGCCTATGGTCCTCTTCTATTACCCTTCTGCTTACTGAAGAGCACCTTTGGACATCTGTGTAATCCTTTCCACGCCAGGAGACTTGCCTCCCCTCCAATACGCACTCTCTCTCTCTCTCTCTCTCTCTCTCTCTCTCTCTCTCTCTCTCTCTCTCTCTCTCTCTCTCTCTCTCTCTCTCTCTC